CGAGATCAAGTGTCGGACACTCAACCAACTGAACTACCCGGAGGCCCTGCGCTCTATACCTTTTAAAACGTTTGCATCAGAATCTGATTGGGAGTATGCATTGCATCGGTCTGTCATGTCTCTCAGTTTCCAGAATAGTCTCGACCCCCCCCATACACAGTCTTTTTGAAGACTTCAGGCCAGTGTCTTCATAGGCTGTCTTTCAGTGTATATTGTCTGTCTGCCTGTTTCCCCGCGGTTAGATTCTTTTTTTTTTTTTTAAGATTTTATTTATTTATTTATTTGAGAGAGAGAGAGAGAGAGGGAGGGAAACAGCAGGAGAGGGAAGAGGGTCAGAGGGAGAAGCAGGCTCCCCACCGAGCCGGGAGCCCGATGTGGGACTCGATCCCAGGACCCCGGGATCATGACCTGAGCCGAAGGCAGTCGCTTAACCAACTGAGCCACCCAGGCGCCCCCCGCGGTTAGATTCTGCTAAATGCTCTTGGCAGGAAAACCAGGGTATCTGTCTGGAGAATCGTGACCGGGAGGGTCCAGAGCATGGGAGCTGGGCCGTCTGCGTGGAGTGGTGTCCCCACTTCGCGTGTCCACATCTCCATTTCCTGCCGCCCTCCCGGGGTCTCAGCAGCCGTGGGGGCCTCTCGTGGACAGTGTTCTCGGCGAACACACACACAACCCCCTCTAACAGTGGAACTGTAGTGGTCATGTGACCTGACGTGCCTGTTTATGAATCCTCCGGAACAGTTAATATAATCGTAAAATAAGGGATTCTCGTTGGTTCTCACGTCTTTAATCCCCTGAGATAGTGTCTGGACGCTACAGGGTGGGTAGGAAGGCCTCGCGAGGCAGCCCTTCCATGGAATGCCCTCATCCTGCTCACTGGGGAGCCAGGCCAGCTCACTCACCCTCAGGAGGAAGGCTCCGTCCCTGGTCAGCAACGTGTGTGCCCTTGGGAAGGATTGTCCGCCTCATTCCTCCAAGTGTCCACAGCATGAGCTCCTGACCCTGGGCAAGGGAGCGAGGGGGACATGGGCCTCCGGCGTCTGGGGGGGGGTGCAGGGAGGATGGTTCCAGCTGCCACTGCCTTGAGACCACAGGGAGCTGGAAGGAAACCCCCTCGATCGGAGAGTTTCGTTTATCTCATGCAGACACGTGCCACGCTTCAGCCAAAGTTCATAGCTCAGCAAACCCTAACAGTGAACCCAGCCGTGTTTCTCAACCACAGTAACGGTTGCTGGGGCACCACCCTCCCCGCCCTCACCCGAGGGGTCCAGCCTGGAGCACCTGAAACCTTGGGCATTTCGGGAAGACCGGGCTCAGCATTGCCAGCGCTGGGGGGTGTCCCTGGGTGCCCGGGGATGGCCAGCCCAAATATGCAGGCAGAAGGCAGCCTCCCAGGACACTGGAGCAGGAGTGGTGAGTGAGGGGGTCCTCCCTTCCTGAGGAGACATGGTGGGGGCCTCCAACTGCCAGCATGGCGATACCTGGAAATCAGGTAAACGTGGAGCGGGGAAATGCTGGGGAGGGACCGGCATGGCAGCAACAAGAGTGTCCCAGGTAGCCTGGCCGGCAAGCTGACCTGACAGTGACCGCGGAGCCCAAGTGCGGCAGCATCCCCGGGGGCCTGGACAGGGCAGCAGATGATGTGCAAGGGGTGGGGTCAGCAGGCGGGTGCTGAGCGGGAGACCTTCATGAGGGAGCTGGGTCTCAGATGCCAGGTATGCACACCCGTCTTTATCATCCTGCTCTCCGTGGGGAAACTGAGACCCGTGGCCACCCCCGGGGGAGGGGGTCCCCATGGTATGGGGGCCATGCCCAGACTCAGGTCCTCAGTGTCTGCCCTGGGCTTTGCTTCTCCTCATCCCTAAGGGGCTGCTGCCTGAGTCTGGGCGAAGCCCCTGCTGGCCACTGGACCCCCAGCTTTCCCCAGCCCCCCAGCGGGGTGGAGCCAAGCCCTGAGTTCTCTGTGATGAAGCAGGGCAGAGGCAGAGGGGTCGGCTCCGCTGGGGCCCTAGTGCTTGAGTCCTGTCTGTTTCCCCTTTGTCAGTTCTTACCCACTTCCTGTCTGTAAGGGACCTTCAGAGTTGGAGAGCAGATCACAGCAAAGTCTACGTCCTGTGCTTTGCCAGTAGGGCTTGCCTGCCCACAGCGCCCATGGGGAGCCTTGGGGTCCTCCCCACGGTCTGTTGGCCACCCTACCCTGGGATCTGCTTCGTGGCTGGGACAGTGGTGAGGACCCCTGGGGGCCTGACACGGGACATGCTCCAGATTCCAGACCCCGACTCCCCACGTGCGTGGCGCAAGGCTGGTGATGACGTCTGTTCTCAAGCCTTCACTAACTTGTCATCATAGAAAAACACTGAGATTCTAGCTGCTCACAGTGTGGAAATAGCAACCAAATTTCCAGTGAATTTGGCCTTTTTGGGGGAGTCAGGGAAAGCCCCCATAAAGCAGGAACAACTTGGCTGGGAGCTCGATGATGACATTAAGCAGGTGCCCATGGGACAGAAAGGCAGGTGTAGCTGCTCTGTGTGCTCAGGGGACACAGAGGCTTGGTAGTCAGACTTCAGGGCCTGAGGGTGGATGGCGCAGGACCGCCGGCGGGGCCCGGAGGTCACAGCCGCTCTGACGACAGGGGGAGGGGAGGGCAGCCGTGTGAGCATCTTGCCCAGGCAGCTGCATCTTCTGGCTTTTTTTTTTTAGCAGCATTTTTTTCTTTGGTGGGGGGAGTGCACGCATGCTTGCAAGCAGGGGGCGGAGGTGGCAGTGGGAAGGGCAGAGGCAGATGGAGAGAGAGAATCCTAAGCAGGATCCATGCCCAGCGTGGAGCCCGATGGGGCTTGAACTCAGGACCCTGAGATGACCTGAGCCAAAACCAAGAGTCAGACGCTTCACCGACTGAGCCACCCAGGTGCCCCCCCTACTTTAAAAAAATATATATTTTATTTATTTGCTTGTTTGTTTATTTTAAAGATTTTATTTATTTATTTGACAGAGTCATAGTGAGAGAGGGAACACAAGCCGGGGGAGTGGGAGAGGGAGAAGCAGGCCTCCTGCCGAGCAGGGAGCCCGATGCGGGGCTCGATCCCAGGACCCTGGGATCATGACCTGCGCTGAAGGCAGACGCCCAACGACTCAGCCCCCCAGGCGCCCCAGCCCCCCACTTTTTAAAGCATGTGCTGAGCATTTTTGCTCCTGCAGGAATCACATAAGGGAAACGTAAAGTAGCAATGTTTCCGGAGAAGCTGTGGCCTAAGTGTGCCCATGTCACATGGGCAGCCATGCCGAGTACTGCAGGTTTCATGGCAGCCATGACCTAGTGTGCCCGGGGCTTACTTTGTCACCAGCCTGGCAGTAAAGTGTGGCGAGGACTGACCACTTGCCTCTTTCTTATTTTGTCGGGAACACATGGAGAAAGGGTTTATTCCTTTGGTGGAAGGAGTCCCACCAGGCCTAAGCCACAGGTATGGTGCTCAGTGGGCCTGGCGCGTCTGAGACACACAAAGCTGCCCGCTGACCCCTTCCAGGCCGCCTCAGGTGGAGCGAGACGTCTGCCTGCCCGCGCTGTCGCCACCCACCGCCCTTCTCTGCACAGAGCTGGTTAAAGGGCAGCAACGCCTGAGTCCCCCGCCCAGCTCGACCGTGGCAGGCCCCTCCCTGTGAAGTCTCCCCTTTGGGGCGCCCCTTGCCTCCTTTCCCACTGGGAGCGCACCATCCATGGCTGTCTGGGGGCCCAGGAAGGGGCTGCACCCCAAAGCCAGCAGTCGGTCACTCCTGGATACACCTTCTTTCATCTCCAGCCTTTGGCAGCTCCATCCCTGACCTCACTGTTGCCCTTGGCCACTGGGACTGCATGGGTTCCCACAGGGGACCATGGAGCAGTGGCCCATGGAGGAGACCACAGGTGGGCCACTCAGGGCCACCTGGGGAAGCCAACATGGGTGACCAGTGGGTCGAAGGTGGGGCGGGAGGAGGCCCCGGAACCCCTCAGCAGACGACCCCAGCACCCTTGGGTTCTGCTTGGGTCCCTCTCAGGCCCACGGTGGCCCCGATGTGTGGGCAGAGCTGGTCAGACCCCCTGGGCATGGCCCCTGACCTTGCTGGGAGTGAGGGTGTGGGGTCTCTGAGATTCTCCCCATTCTGGGGACAGGTCTGCCAACTCCTGCCATCTGTGGCAGGAGGCTGGGTGTGGAGCCCAGGCTGAGCTGGCAAGGATCCTCCCTCTGTCACATGGCCTCTCCAGGGACTTTAATAATACCCGCTCGAGGGCCGCTTGGGGCCACGCTCAGGTGCCCGAAGCAGGGAGTGCTCAGGAAGCCCAAAGGGCGGAGCAGTCCCACCTCTGGGGCTTTGACCCAGGCGCCTGGTGTGGGTGCATGTGTGCTGGGATGCCGGCCCCCCTGGGACCACCCGCAGCAACAGGAACACTTGTGCTCTGGGAAGCAGAGTGGGGACTGGGCCAGGGGAGGTTTCCTCCCCGAATCTGTATCTTCGCGTGTGCCTGGGGGAACTCGTGAGAACAGATGCGATGCAAACTTTTTAAGAACATGTTCTCTGGCTAAGGAGTGTTTCCCTGGGGTGACAAAAGGCCGCACTGAGGTCTCCAGGGCGACGCAGCGCTGACAGTGCAGGGGTCCAAAGCACGGTTAGCGGCTCAGCATACGCCGTGTCCCCAGACGGAGAAGAATCGGATGTGCCCACTGTGTTAGGGCCTGTGCCGTGCCCACGCCCCGTGCTTGCTGAGTGTGTGAATGGAAGGGTCTGGAACGGGACACAGGTAGGCGTGGGGCCCTGAACAGGACCTGTGTGTCCAGTGGTTGCCCCCCAGGATCCCTGATACCCTGGGGGTGGGCTCGGGGGCTGTGCAGTGGGCGAGCGACCCATTCAAATAAAGACCCCTGCAGGGTGAGGCTCTTTTGTTGTCTTTTTTTTTCATTATTTAAAAAATATATGTTACAAAACAATATCATTAATCATATATTTCTTATTTTCCTTTTTAAAAAAATTAAAGTAATAAAAAAAGTCACTTTATAAAATAATACAAAAGGCCAGGAGAGTCTGAGGCTGGGGCTGGCCC